TATATTTGAGTTTAGTATTACAAGAATCCTTTTTAAGATAACATCAACAGGATCACAGAAGCAAGAAGCTTCTCATAGGACATTATATCCATTATAACTTTTATCTTAGAAGCATGCCTCATTTTGTCTTTAAAATTGCCAGCGCTTCTAAATTATGACGGTATGAAACATGCCCTTTGTGCTTATACAGAATACAGAGCGCCTTAAAATTAAATTTAGCAATGCCGTGACGCGAAATATTGTGGTGTAAAAGGCGCACAATATTTCAGCTATGCTCCTTCAACGATTACATCGATTTTGTAAGCGGATATTCTGTCGGAACATATTTAAATTTGTGGGTTTTATCTTTAAAACTGTTTACCCTAAGGTTTCAATACTCGCCCAATATATAGGTCACATACATGTATGCCCTGTAGCTTGTAACCACTTGCCGGAAGTATTTTTAAGACATTTAATACAATCAGATATGAAGGGACAAATTAATATGATTACTCGTCTTTACGGTGAGAGCAAAACTTTGTGACTTAGGGCAAAATACAGCGTCTACAGTACAGGCTTGTGTTACTTTTCATATCCTATATGTGTGTGACATACATACGTGAAAACTCTTAAAAAAAACAGTGGCACTACAACCTCTTTAGGTCTGGGCCTCAGATTTCTGAATCATGACCATTTTTCAATCTAATAGGCAAGTAGGTGCATTCCTAGGCCTGACTCACGATGTTTTCCTTCACCGTTTGAGCGAATGTTAAATGCGCACATAGAAAGAAAGTCCATTGGTGCACAGCTGGGGCTCGAATCTCGATCCCTGAGGTCGAAGGTTCGACCTCAGGGATGAGAGTCGCACGCTGAAGCCACTAGACCAACACTGCTCTGCACGTGAAAACTCTACGCCCACTAAAAATTACTCAATGCAAAAGGCTGCAAACTTTAAATCACTGCATATAATATAAACAATACTGTAGCGATCCTACAATCTCGAACTAATCACTACGATGACTCCTGATGTTATCCACTTCAGCCTAGGGATGCTCGATGATCATCGATGTTGAAAGCAAAAACATCGATCTTTTGACATCGATGTTGCTATACGAAAAATATCGTAACACCGATGTTAACTGATTCGAGCATCGATGTTAACTCACGGCCTCCTGCACGACAAATGCAACTTACGAAACAAATTATGTCTTCTATGAAAGCATCCACAAATCAGGTTTATTAAAATATTGAACGCTTATTCATTCTTTGCGCCCAGGTCTATCCCTTCGTTCGTTCTTCGTAGTCTTGCTCGCTCTTTCTCTTTCACACTTCCTCACTACTCTTTATCAACAAAGAAATATATTAAAAGGTTTTTCTTTATAAAAATTACTTTTCATTCAGTCAGTTGATAAAAAATATCGGAATGTAATATTTTTTTCTGTTTCTTTGTAAATTTCGAACTATATCACTGTATTTTATTTCTTTGTCAATTATTAATGCAAAATGATCGGTTTTCGATAAATATCGAACATCGATGTTGGGCTTTCGATTATGACATCGATGTCAATATCGATGTTTTTCTAACATCGATCATCCCTACTTCAGCCCGGCCAGATAGTGATCCTGCCTGTAAGAGAGCAGCACCTTCAAGCACCACAATATCAATCAAACAGACGTAGAAAACGGAGGCCAAGTAATGTAAATCATAAATATTGTTTAACTATTAGTACAGAATCGAGACCTATTGGATGTGTGTGTGATCCAATACGTTTATCAGATACGGGATTGGCACTTAGACTTACGCCCTTGATTTGAGAACTGGCATTAAATGTAAAATTAGAAGCATTTAATGTATATTTCTTTTTTGACGTTCATAAGTGTACATTGTGTTACCTAAATTAATAAATGATTTTTGACTTTGACTTTGAGTCATTTATAATAAATCTTAGCTGTATAGAAAACTGTATTGTATCACAACTGCTAAACAAAACATTTCGTAAAAGATTCGAACCGTTGCGAAATGCGAAAAAGATACACAAATAAGCTTCTTTAAATTCTTTCATAATTCTAGTCGACAGTCAACACTATTATCTACACTTTCAGTATAAACGAGAGTCCTATTATTTGATTAAGCGAGTGAAAAATTAGTACTGAAGTCGAGTGCACTGTTGCGGCTCCCGCACTCCATTCAGCTTATTTACTCTCTTAATTTCGCTATTTTCGCCCAACTTTTAGATTTATTTCCTTAAAATAGGTCAATTAAGGTACTCGTAATAATTTCAAAGTTTGGGTTTACAGGCGAAGTCATCTACATAGATTAAATTTAATAAAATACAAGCTGAAGGAAACATTTTTTTAGTTCAATAAAAATAACTATCTCTACCTATAACTACCTCTATCTAGAGGGGTGACAATTAAGGTTTGTATGTATTTTTGTAACATAATAAAATAAAAATTTTGGGGTGGGACCACCCTTAACATTTAGGGGGATGAAAAAGATGTTGTCCGATTCTCAGACTTACTGAATACGCATAAAAAATTTCATAAGAATCGGTCGAGCAGTTTCGGAGGAGTATGGAAACGAACATTGTGACACGAGAATTTTATATATATGAATTATATATATAAGATTCTTCAAGTTTATTGCCAGTTCTTCTCTTCCGTTCTACACCTTTGATTTGAGAATTGGCAGTAAATGTATATTTCTTTTTTGACGTTCATAAGTGTACATTGTTTTCCCTGTATGAATAAATGATTTTTGTTTTGACTTTAAAAGAAAAGAGCGTAACGTATGTATTCTTAAAAGGCCGGCAACGCACTTGCGAGGCTTTGCAATGTAAGTGTCTTGGGGGCGGTATCACTTACCATCAGATGAGCCTCCTGCCCGTTTGCCTCCTATTACATACAAAAATTAAAGACTTTACCTAGTAACATATAAGTAGAAATGATATTACAAAATCTAACCCCATATAAGCCATCGGCTAATAAAGATTCGAGAAACTCATTCATGTTTGCTTCATTTCCTTCATTCAACTTCACCAAGCACAATAATTTATTCAAGGATTTTAATTTGATGCTCAATCGATTTTTTTTAGATCACAATAAATTACTGTCTGATTTCGAAGGCAAGTCGATATTATATTTACTTTATTTTGTTAGTAACAGCGATGCACGTTACAAATGCGCGGCCGTCTTATGAATCAGATACAGTGGTTTCGTCGAGACGGTGAAATAGTCGGGGACCGCTTCACGACTGGCACGTGCATAGCAATCGTTTAGTAATTACAATAATACAGTATTCCCACATACCACCTTTCAAAATTATTATTCATCGATAACAACACATTGTGCCTATGAAATTAAACCATTATTTTTCTATTTTTTTGGCAAACAGGGCAAAATCACCTGAAGTTAATAGATACCATGGACACTCACAAACTTACAATGAATTTTTATGTCATCAAAACTCAAAAGAAATGCGAGTCACATGTCCAACATTCAAGACAGTACCAATACTATTAACATCAATAAACTTATTATTTGTATGGTATAATGAATTTTGGGTATGCAGACCTAGGTTACTTAAAATACTTGCACAGTGCCTTAATAGGCGTTGTCTATTTATTAGTATTTCGATCTCATTACTAGCAAAACAACTAGATTAGTGGAGTTCCAGTTTAGCTTCATCTGACGGCACGTCAGTTAACTATGACTTAACATTGAGAGTTGTTGTATGATGCGTTTAGGTTCCGCGTACAAGATGTCGCTGTTATACATTATCGCTATGTTACTTTTTAAGTACACATTTTCTAAAATAATGTACAAAAAATAAGTATCGAAAATCCTTAGCATCTTATTCACAAAAACTAAAGCAGTCTTATAGCACTATTTTCACTAAATTATTACTTCGTCTCTTTTTGTCAAATTATGTTAAAAATGTGTCGAAAAGAAACAGATGAGTATTTTAGCAAAAACTGTGCAATTAAAATAATTAATTTTCTTGTCTTATTGGGCAGTCTTAATGCTAGTATAATATTGTAAGTATTTTAAGGGAACCTCTAACCCTAGAACTTAATGGAAGGAAATAAATTAGGAGGATGATAATTTGTTAAGGAAATAGCTGTTTTGCTAGTATTCTAAATAAACAAATTACTAGTAAAATCTAAAATTGGAGGTATAACATTTTTATTATTTAATTTTTTTACCGTAATTGTCATGAATTTTAGAAAAGATAGCTTGTAACATATAATGTAGATATAGCATTATATATACATGATGTGGCGAACTTTAATAAATAAATAAAAAACAGATTCCATAGCTTAGAAAAACAAGATAATATTTAAAAAAAAATTAAGGTAGCCAAAACGGATTACACCATGTTTACGAGAAACATTATGTACCAACAATGACAAATGAATAAGCAAAAAATAAATAAAACTCGTAAGTAACATCATAAAAATTTATTTGTTATTGTCAAAATTGCTCATGTACACAAAAATAGATTAGAATAATCGATGTGTAAGAACGATTCTTTTAAAGTTTTATACATATAAACTACATCACATTATATATAAACAGTCTAGCTTCATATTAAAAACTTAAATTTAAAGATAGTAGAAAAACTTACCTACTATCATATATAAAATCAGCAGGTCTTCCTCAAATTTCAGGAAATCGAGGACAACATTCTGAAGATATATCATTTATTGCTTAAGTATTAATTATATATAATGTTTTCTTAATAATTAACAGCGGTGAGCTTCTAATTATCTGCTTATTTTATAGTCTTAAGATGGTTTTTGAAAGTGGATTAATACTTTAAATCAAATAATAGTAATAAAAAATAAATGTCCACTGCAAGTGAAGCCTAGCAAAACTGTACCAACATTTTGGAAATTGGTCTTATATTTATTTTTAGTAAATGTAGTGTTTTAATTGCTGTAAAATTATATACAGTCTCATAAAAATCTCAAATTATATGTAATCTAAAATAAATGCAATTCTAGTAATATAAATCTACCCTAATGAGATGCATCAGATGCCGCCCTCTGTATTGATTCCTCCATACTTCTCAAGTAGTTATTCAGAGACTTTGAAGTATTTTGTAATATACTTAGACCTAATCTGTACTTAAACTCAACCAATCGTTGCAAGAAGCCAAAAAATCCGTTACTAGACGATGGTGGTGGATATGTTAAGATTTCTGGAAAGTCTGTTGGCTGTTTAGTTGTTTTAGGAACAGTAGACATTGTTGAAGTACTTTCAAGTTTTATATCCGTTGTTGTATCTGCTTGTAAATTTTTCTCTGTATTTGTAATATCACTGTTATTGTCCGTCTCAGATTGAGAACTTGAAGATGGTACAATTTCATTTGACATATCTGTTGTTTTGTCGTTTGAGTCCTCAATAGGAATAGTGGAAACACTTTCTACTATTTCCCCCATTTTGGCATTTTCTCCTTTTAATGCATTACTTGGGTTTACTGCTTCTATGGGAATTATATTTATGTAATTTTCTTCAGTTTTAATAGGCAGTAATTCAATTGATTGAGGTATATGAGGCACATATCTAAGAGCCTCATCTATTTCATTGCTTAAAAAAACCTCCTTTTCCTTTTTATTTGCAGCTTCTAAAATTTCTTCTATAGCGACACCTCTTTTCAGACGTAAGCTTCTACGTTTTCTATTAAGTTTTCTGGGTCCATGTTCTGGAACAACTGCAGGGGTATCAGAGTCGCTTAATTCTTTTGGTACATTTCCAACAACGAATTTGTTTTCTCCACTTTCAGTATCACTGTTTGAATCTTCATTATATTTATTGTCTTCCGATTGTTCTGATTCATTATTAGAACCAAGGTACATAGATGTCTGAGGGTATGTAACAGGACTTGTTGTTGTTTCTCCGTAAAACTGAGGATCATATGGATACACAGGTTTAAAATCTGTGTCTGCTGATGGTTTCACTCCATAAACAACCGAACCCGATGACTCACTTCCATAAGAAGTTGCATCTGACGGTCCAGTTTGAGGGGCGGCAAAGATAGGTTCAACAGCTGGATAAGATGTAGTATATGCATGCCTTGTTTCATACTGAGGGCGGCGATGGTAATTTAAAGGCTCAGAATAAACAGCACCATGAGCAATACCAGTTTTTTGCTGTGGGTAATGCACGCCATAATTAGGATCGTACTTGGTCACATGCCTATACCTGATATCTTGTTGTTCCTTTTTCGCCGGGTAACGGGCGTTATAATTAGTCTGTGCCGCGTAAGGATTTAATTTCTGTTTAGCATGTGCAGGCATACCTGCAAGCACTGTACCCAACATTTCTTCTTCTGGTTGACCATTGCCTTCGTTTGCATATTCTTCGGCATTATTTTTATAAATGTCGTCTTTTTTGTCAACTTCGAAAGTTCTCCTAACTGGAGTGGCAAAGGGATATAAGAAATAACTCGCAATACCTACTAAGCCAGCTAAACCAATTACGCCTACTCCTACAGAAGGCATGACTTCTCTAGAAAAGTAGTTGTAAATTTGACTTGTGAATGGCCCAGTGGCCTTTGTAGGTTTTTTAGATGTTTTTGTTGTTTTTGTTTTATTTGCCGTTTTTAATTCAGTCGGCGAAGATGTTTGAGCTGGTTTTGGTTTTGAAACTTTACGTTTCTTTGTCTTGGTCTTTTTCTTAGTAGACGATCGCTTGGGCTTCTTTGTAGTACTAGGTGGTGTACTTACTTCTAACTCGATTTCTTGTTCTTTTGCTTCCAGCGGTAGCAAAGCTGACTGAGTTGAGGCGGGAGCTAATGTAATACTAGTTTTATGCTTAAGTTTATCCTTCTTTTTATTTGATTTCGAAGGAACCTTTATTACAGGAATAATGGGACCCTGTTCTTTGTTGGCGATTTCTTTAACTTGTGCTTCAGTAGTTGAGGTTGTAGTTGTAGTAGTTGTAGAGGCTGCACGCGGTGGCGAATTCTTGTTTTTCTGAACATTCGTTAAGACTGTGTCTTTAATTTTATTATAGACATTTTCATTTATTGCAGAACCGCTGGCAACCAAGTCCGATTTATTTGTGCTACCTATAATCGGTCTTTTAGGCATAGATGGTTTATTTTGAGGTCTTTTAGGTTTATTTTTCGTAGGCTTAGATTTCTTGTTTTCTTCAATTTTAGTAGGTTCAGTAGCTAATGTAGAATTTTCTTTATTAACTGGGTTATTTAACAAAATCCAAGTGGATATTCCTTCATTGGATGTGGATGATTCAGTATGAGAAGGGCTAACTCTATTTTCTAATTCCAATTCTTCCATTGACACAGGGACGGCAACTCCAGCATGTGAGTAGTCATTAATCTCATCTCCGTCTTCATTTCTTGTACGAATTTTATTTTTTTGTACGACTTGTGTTTTTATCTTAGGAGGTATTCTCGTATCAGGTACGAGTGGAGTATCTAATGAATTATTAACAGCTGTTTCTAGTAATTGATCCGCAACTTTTTTAATAGAATCCTTTATAGCTGGAGACTTATTTTTCACTTCTCTTGGTGTACTTTCTAATGGAGCAACTGGAACTCCAATCGAGGGGGAATATGCATTTTGTGTTTCTTCTACAACCGGAGTTACCCTGCAATTATAAATAAGATATATATAATACAGAAATGTCTCTCAACTGGCAACAGGCTGTCTTAATGTATTATATGGTTGAATTTATATCAAAATAAAACAACAATAGCTTTTCATTATTTTAATTAAATTCTGCTTAAATTAACACTATACGTAAAAATAAAATACTATAAATATATAAATATATAATAATATAAAATATCTTAAATCTAATACTGAATAAATTAATTATAATCTAGATTAATCACACAATATGTGTTGAAGAATTACGAATATCTTACAGATAAGATACTTCCTAATAAATAAAGATTAAATAATATATACATAAAGAAAGTCTTAGAGTAACGGTAACAACATTTAACAATTAAACGAGTATTTTACACTACGATTGCCGTCAGTCACTTTTTTAAAGAAAATAATATTATTTAGAAAAACGAAACCAGTATCGTGAATTTTTAATTATTTATTTTATATTATTGTCCTATTTCTAACTCTAATAATTGTAGTAATAATTTTTGTAGTATGTTTTTATGTATCTTTTTTTCCTTTTAACACTTTGTTTCCTATTATTTAGTATTTCTCTAACAGTAGTCATCCATTGATTGAGTTTATTAAACCAAGTCTGTCTATTAGGGGTTACATTGTTTTGTACATTTACATTTGTGGATCTAGAAAGCATACGCCGTTGTTTGAAATTATTATAAGCTGAGTTTGAGTTCCACGTGTCATAATTATCAATCCATCGCCTTTGAGGGCCATAGAAGCCTATATCTGGAGCTTGTCTCGCATAAGTTAACACCCATGGACCGAATAATGCAGCAATTCCAGAAGTACTAGCAACTAGAAGAATTATAGGGGTCAGTATAAAGGAAAGAGCAGGAAAACTAAGAGGATTGATTGAAGCCAGCCAACTGAATGCACTTATTGCAGGGCGAAAGAAACTTATTATAGATGACAAACCAAATCCATCGTCTTCATCGTCTTTTGTTGGACGAGACAACGCAGATATAGGAGAACTCGGTTGTGCAAAGTTTGCAGATTCAGCAGATTCTGCTTGTATAGCATCATTAGCTGCATTATAATTCGATAACTCTAGACTCTCAATGGCCGCACTTTCATCTTCTTCGTTTTCGTCAGAATAATTATTTGAAGACTCTTCACTTTCAGAGTTACCATCTGGTAATCCAAATATATCAGTTAACGTGCTATCCGTATCTTCTTCTGATTCTACAACAACGTTCTTGTTCACAACATTTGTATTAACAGCGATATTCAAATCAGGACAAGCTTCTTTGCCCTGGCCCTGGAAAGTGTTGTTAAGTGTAAGAAATATTGTTGGACAGTCATCAGAAGTTGCAGCATATTCTTCAGGTCTTATAACTATTCTATCCGTGTAACCTGTGGTTGGAGGAAACGTTGTGACTTCAAAGTTATTAGGATAATTTGGGTAATTGTTGTAAGGGGGTTTAGTATACTTTATAGGTTTTACAGTGCTTGGTTTTTTTGTACTGTGAAAGCGATCATGCCAAGGTGGTGGATAGCCGACATTAGTTATAATAGGAGTAGGTGTGGGTTTACTATATACAAATGATGGTCTAGTTGGGGAAGCGTATGGATGCTTATCAATAACTTGAAAGTTACTAGAATAAATATGGGTCTCTTCAGAGTATTGCGATTGAGGATAGTTATTTTGTGAGTATCGTTTATCTGATATGTGTGCATTTATATCGTCATTAATTTCTGTACTTGTATAATAATTGTGGATTATGCTATCCGACTTATTATCTTCGTCTTCTCGAGAAAACTCTAAATTATCATCTTTTACATTATCAGTCCATTTTGTTATAACTTTTTTAATTACTGGTTTTATTGTTTTTGGAGTGGCGGGTTTTCTATCAGAATTAGATTTTACCCGATTTTGTTTTGTTTTAAATGATTTGCGTAATAATCTATTTGTTCTATTGGTTTGGGTAAGCCCTGGAAATTGATCTATAATAAACGGTGCTATGTACTGTAAAAAACTCGTATTGTAAAAATTACCTGATTTATGTACCTTATCTAATGCTCTAGAACTATCAACCCTAAATCTATACCTTAACGGTGACTCTGTCGTCTCAGCATAACTAATCGAAGTGGTTAACGATTCTTGAGGTCGCGAAAACACAAACGGACACACAAATACAACTAAAACTAAAGTTCTCTTAAAATCACTTTTTCGTCGCGTCATTGTTGACACCGCGCTATACCTGGAACAAAGAAAATAATATAAGTTAATGCTACCACATAGCAAAACAAAAATACGTATAATGAAGGTAATAGTAATTTCTGGGTTTCAAAACTATTTAAATTACGTAAAATATAACATGTTTAGGCCTTGCAACGTAAAACGTATTTGATTATTTTTGTATGCACATACTTCTTAGCGTTAGTTTAGCCTTATCTTGATGTCTTATTGTAACAAGAAATATATACATTTCACATCCAACAGAGGTGAACTCGAGAATGAACTGTTGATAAATAGGAAAAAACCGGAATAGGCATCAAAACCTGATCTCGTACAAATACCTTTACCGTTACGTGGTAATAAAATAACAAGCTGTGAGATTCCTAATAGAATTAGTAAATATGGGAAAATTCAAGGATCTTAATACATTTACCTATATAAACCACTCTTGAGAATAATCTTAAATTTCTTTTGCTCGCATATTGATTTTAGACATAATTAAGACTTTAATGCAAATTATAAATACTCTAGTTACTCGGTTTAATGAAACCCAGAGATCCTAGGTTTAAATAGAAACGTCAAGTCAAGATTTCATGCTAATTTAGTTCATAATAATAATTATAAGAATAAAACATATGTTTTGAAAACTATAATAATAATCTACTTTAACTTGTGTTTATAAATACGAACACAATAAACTTTGAAAACTAAGCAGGTGTTAATTTTCTCTCAGTTTTAATGCTCCTACACATTGTGGTTATATTTTGTTCAAAGAAATACCCACTGATTCACACACTTTCTTTGTCACGACAACTTTGTATTTTATCTGCATATTTTTCTACGTGCAACGAATAACAAATTCCTTTGTACATATTTCAATACGTTTTCTCATTTTACTAAGAAATTATTAAATAAATATTTTCAAGAATAAATATTTGTATTTTTGTATGCTGTACGGTCAGACCTTTAGAACTAAATAACGGATTTTGATGCGGTTTTCATTAGTATGTAGTTATTCTAGAGGAAGGTACAAACTCTATAAAAAGTCTACAGCTATTTAAATATACTATCTAGTATTTTATATAACTGTTTAGCTGTAGGCGATGCACAAGGCAGTGTAATTTTAAAGATACCGACCCCAAGTGGTTATTTTCTGTTGATGATATATTATATATTATGGCTTTGTTCGTGTTGGCTAAGAGAAAATTGATAGAATGGTCAATTGTAAAGCAGACCATACCCATCCTCCGCCAAATTACTGTTGCCGAAATAGGATCTCAATGCATCTTCTACCGCATTTACCATGGAGGGTGTTCAGAGGAGTCGAGCGGACTAATATCTACAGCTGAGTTTCATCATCGTCTAGACAGAATACAAAATACCATCCGTATCACCTCGACATTCATTGTTCCACAACTGAGCGTTTCTTAAAGCAGTTTTTGTCGCGTACCATCACTATGTGGAACCAGCTGCACACTGAAGTATTTCCGACTAAATCGAATTTGTCCCTCAAGAAAAGAACGTAGCAGTTCTTAAAAGCCCGGCAACGCACTTGCGAGCCTTTGTCAATGTCAGTATCCATGGGCGGCGGTGTATGATTATTTTAAGCCATTTAACTTTTATAATTATTATATTTTTAGATTAAATTAAGGGTTTATTAAAATTTGTTTCGTCTAATAGTTGCATAACATTACTTGCATAACATTTTACAAGTGTTATAATAACAATAATAATATATTTCTTTCTGCTTCCTTGCAGGATAAATATATATGATTTTGCTTATTTTCTATAAAGTTGTCGATTAGAACGACGTCACTAGAGGTGAATGCCCTCTCGGCCATGACACAGAACTTCGTAAACACCGCATTACTGACCTAGATAACAACCCGTTTACTTTTCCGTTACTTTAAATCCTTATGGACCTCAATATTTATTTTTGGAGGTATTCTGCATTTTGTATTACAAACTTTATTTAGGACCTATACACGCATTAAACGACGGATATACTAATAGGGTTGAATATCGGGAAAATTTGACGTTTTAATTTTTTATTATAAACTTTAACTATACTTAATTTCATTAAACTTTAACTTAAGTATAATTTGTGAAAGTGTTGTTCATTGGTGTACAACAAAGGAAAGAAGCACGAGAACCAGAGGTTCAAGGACTGTTCGACTCCATTAATTTTCCCATTGTCCATTATTGAGCCATCATATTAGGTATCGCAAATAAGAAAAAATACAGTCCACTATATAACCACTTCAAATATTTAGCTTATAGGTATAAAGTTTTATAAAGTATCATCCCGCGTTTCCATTAAAAGTTGGTCCAAACGAGCCGAGATATATTTCTTAGCTTATGGTTTTTACCTACGCTCCGCTTATTTTCGCTTAGTATAATAATTTAGCTAAGCAATTGTAATGTTATGCTTATAACATTTCGATCGTTACTTGCATCGCTTTGTTAAACGTAAACGCGTGACCTTGGCATAGTTTGTCGGTCACTGCAACATATTTGCACTTCAGTAAACTTTATACCTAATTATTCTTAATTGCTTTTCTATTCTATTATATTGAATAACTATAATTTTACCGCGTTTTGGGTTCAAATGCCGAAGAGTGATAACGCTTTTCGGAAGTCTTCAGATCTAGGCTGTAGATATACAACTCGTATTATTAGCACAAAAACGGAATACAATATTCATTTATTTACAAGAGGTATTTGACCTATCTAAAGATGCGGATTGTGACCCTTTGATGAGGGACCAAACTTTCTCGACGCAGTAGTAATATTGAAACGTTACGCTCAGACTTTATTAAAATCTTGATGATTATAATAATTTTATTTTTAAATCCTAAGGCGCTCCGGAATTTAAAAGTTTAATTGCTTCGAGCGGCTTTGGCTTTTAGTTTCCTGTACGCTATAGGTAAACTGAAAAATACGAAGCAAAATCAAAACCAAGTACTACCTATATCGACTGACTTACGCAGCCGGTGTGTCTCCTATGTTACGCGACACGAATATTTGTATACATGCAACTTTTCATAACTAAGTTTAAATTTTTAAGGCGAATAGTCTGTGCGTGAACGCGTAGGGAGTAATTAACTGCTAAACCTTTTCACTGCCCGCCGGTGTGACGATGTAACACCAGCTACACTTTGATAAAAAACAGTCGCCGCAGCCACGGGCACCACGTCTGGTGACAGTACTTCACGCACTTTTCCTGCTCCGCTGCGAATGCGTTCTTCGTGGGGGGCTTGCCCCCGGCAGCCCTTCGGTTGACAGTAGTACCGCTAATCAATTATATTAGTATCAAAAATAAGTCAAATACAGTCCACTAAATAACCACTGTCAAATATTTAGCTTATAGGTATGGAAAGTTTTATAAAGATATCAAAGTCACATTAAACAATATAAAAAAAAGTTATTTTATTTATTTATAATTTACCATGCGGTAGCTAATAGAACGTTGGAACCGTTCTATAAGCTATATAAATAATCTTAACTGTAACAAATAAACCGCTAGTAATGAAGAAAACAAAGAAGCGTACTGAATTTAACTTACATCGTTATGCTTCAGCATCATCCACTTTTTATAAATATGGTAAATTAATATTTATAAATAAACTTAATTTTAATATTACATCTAAGTATTAATTTCTTTAAAAAAAAATGGCGATTAAAAAGAGTGGCGGAGAGTTTATTGCCAGTTCTTCTCTCCCGTTCTACGCCCTTGATTTGAGAACTGGCAGTAAATGTAAAATTAGAAGCATTACTATGTATTTCTTTACTGACGAGTCATAAGTGTAAATTATGTTACCTATATGATTAAATGTTTTTTTTACTTTTACCATACTTTTGATATTATATCCAGAATATTTTATACATTATTTCCTTCATGACTAATTCACAATTAAACATGAAGCCTTATAAGGCCGGCAACGCTTCTTCCATGGGCAGTCGTGCCACTTATATCTTTTTTTTATAGAACAGGGGGCAAACGGGCTCATCTGATGTTAAGTGATATCGCCACCCATGGACATTCTCAATGACAGAGGGTTCGCGAGTGCGTTGCCGGGCTTTTAAGAACGGCTACGTTCTTTTCTTGAGGGACCCTAAGTCGTGGTTCGGAAATACTTCAGTGGGCAGCTGGTTCCACATAGTGGTGGTGCGCGGCAACTGCCTTGAAAAACGCTCAGTTGTGCAACGGCGGACGTCGAGGTGATACGGGTGGAATTTCGTATTCTGCCTCGACGTCCGATGATGATACTCAGCTGCAGGTATTAATCCGAACAACTCAAGTAAGCTTCCCAGTTGACCACTGATATATAAAACAATATAATGAAATAAAAGCCAGTTTGAATATGCAGAAACTTTCGTCATTAAGAATTTAGTATAATAATAATTTTACAGCTGAGTATGGCATATGACATCCCTTTCGGTCATTATTCTGTTTATCAAACGGACCCGAAACAATTTTTTCTCAGTAATCAAACCCCCTCCGAGCTATACACTAACAGCTAAGTATTTGTTCAATACAGTTCTGTGAATCGCCCCTATAGTCTCTGATACAATTAACCTTTCGAAAGTTTCTTTGTTAAGGCCAAGAACAGAGTTCAAATAAGGATGTCACACAATAAAAGAAGCCTCATTAGCCTACTTTACTTTTCCTCAACGGTAATTTGGTATTCGAAATTTGAATATTCACCGATCATTTAAAAGACATTTCTTGTAAGTGGTCATACTTAAATAGCTTTTCCTTTAAATATATCTTATCTTTATGAAGTTTGTGGTGCAAATTCGCGGCGATAGGTGGCGTTGTTGCAACATATATTTTTTTTTGAATAGGGGGCAAACTGGCAGGAGGCTCATCTGATGTTAAGTGATACCGCCGCCCATGGACACTCTCAATGTCAGAGGACTCGCGAATGCGTTGCCGGCCTTTTAAGAATTGGTACGCTCTTTTCTTGAAGGACCTTAAGTCAAAATGGTTTATATAGTAG